CTTCCATATGTTTCTGCATTTGATTCTTTAGTGCAGATGTTATTAATTCAGGGATTTCTTTTTTCATTTCTAACCTGAGGTCTTCTATATCTTCCTGCAACTGTTTTATTTCAGAAGCGGTTGATTCATTGCTTTCAACTGTGTGTTTTCCAATTTTTTCTGTGTTAGTGTCCTCTGCACTTGTTATGGTTGGGCTTGGGTTCTGAGGTTACATTTTGTTCCTTCTCGTCATTTTGTGTAGCACTGTCCACTGCCCTTTGTTGTAGATCTTTGCTGTAGTTATAACCTTCACACGTACTGAAGTTCAGGTGGAGCTCTACAGAATTTGGACTTATCCAGCTGCGTCTGGCTGAGGTCTGGCTGCTGTGCTCAGCTGCTTCCTGCTGCGGACCAGGGCTAGGACTGGGTCTGGGCGTTCCCGGAACTCGGCAGAAATTCCTACGGACCTGGGCTCGGACTCTCAATGTTGTTTTAATTTTCATTTCATGGTTGGTAGTGATGCGGTGTCCCGACCTGCGCATTAGTCAATGAGGTCCCTAGAGGGGGAGTGAGGATGAGAAGGGATGGGAGACACAAAGAGTGGAGACAAGTTCTGATGAAGTCTCATTTATTTAGGGGTGGTTCTGGGTATATAAAAGGTGTAGGAATGAAGAAGTTTTGGCTCTTGATGTCAGCAGGTATCCAGGCAACAGAAGAAGGTCCCACCCCCAGAGCATAGCAGGAGACTTATGGCAAATAGGCAGTGTAAGAGGGAATAGAAGCTTAACTCAGCAGAAGAATAAAAACTTAAGAGTATGGCTGACACTATTATAAAATAGATACCAGTCACAGGTTTCCCACAATATGGAGCATTTTTTCATATATTTATTTGCTTCTTTAATTTCATCCTCTGGGATGTATGTGTTCATCTTGGATGCCCATTTCTGGTTAGGGTCTTTAAATTTTTGAGGCCCTAGTGTTTTTAGTTCTTTATAAATTCTAAAGAGCAAACCTTTGTCTGAGTGCTTATTAGTTAAGATTGTTTCCAAATTTGTGGGTTGTCTTTTCACTTTGTTGCCAATTTCTTTTGACGTCCAAAAAGTTCTCAATAAGAGGAGGTCCAAGTTGTTGATTCTTTCAAGTATTACCTGTGTGATTTGATTGTTGTTCTTGAATTATTTGCCTACCCCTATGTCTTCAAGATTTCCTCCTACTTTCTCTTCCAGGAGATTTACTGTTTCTGTTTTAATGTTTACATCTTTAATCCATTTAGAGTTCAGCTTAATGTATGGTGATAGGCCTGGGTGAAGTTTTACATTTCAGCATGTAGAGAGCCAGTTTTTCCAGCACCATTTGCTATAGGGGCTGTCTTCCAGTGAGTTTGTTTGGCCCCTTTGTCAAAGATAATGTGCCTTACTGTGTTCGTAGAGGTTTCTGCATCTTCTAATCTATTCCATTGATCCTCAGGTCTATTTCATTGCCAGAACCATGCTGATTTTTATCACAGTAGCTTTGTAGTATAATTTCAAGTCAGGAATTGTAGTGCCTCTTGCCTCGTCTTTGTTGCCCAGGATTGCCTTTGCTATTCTAGGTCTTTTCTGCTTCCAAATAAATTTGAGGAACAATTTCTATAGGTTTGTGAGGTATGTTTGTGGTAGTTTGATAGGGATTGCATTAAATCTGTACAGAAGTTTTGGGAGTATGCCCATCTTCACAATGTAGATTCTTCCTATCCAGGAGCAGGGAATATCTTTATATTGTCTCTAATCCTGTAGGATCTCTTTTTTCAGAGTAGTGCAATTTTCCTTGAAAAGATCTTTGACTTGTTTAGTTAGATTAAGTCCAATGTATTTCATTTTCCTTGGTGCTATTGTAAAAGTATTGTTTCCCTAATTTACCTCCCAGTGTGTGTGTTATCTGTGTAGAGGAATGCTATTGACTTTTGAGTACTGACTTTATATGCTGCTATGCTAATGAATTTGTGTATCATCTAGTAGCTTCTTAGTGGTGTTTTTTTTTGTCCTACCAAGTAAAGTATCATGTCATCTTCAAATAATAATTTAACTTCTTCTTTACCTATTCTTATTCCTTTTATTTCTCTCTTGCCTAATAGCTGTAGGTAATGATTGCAGAAGTATATTGAATAGGAATGGTGATAAAAGACGTCCTTGTCTTGTACCTGATTGAGAGTACAAAATATCAGGTTATCCCTGTTTAGAATTATGTTAGCCATTGGGTTGTCATAAATGGCTTTTGTCAGATTGAAGTAGAGGCCATCTATTCCAATTTTCTGCAGGACTATGAACATGAATGAGTGTTGGCCTTTTTCAAATGCCTTTTCTGCATCTATTGAAATGATTATGTGGTTTTTGGATTGGCTCTATTGATATAATGTATTACATATGTAGACTGGTGTATATTGAAGAATCTGTGCATCCCTGGGATGAGTCCTATCTGGTCATGGTGTATAATCTTGATGATTTGCTGTATTCTACTTGCTAGGATTTTTATGTAATTAAGCTTCTCTTCTGGAAGGTTAACAACTTAAGTCTGCACACCAGAAAATTAGAGAAAAAGAAGGGTTACAAGCATTGCCATCATTTTGTTCCTAGCCATTCAAGGTCCGTGAGCACTCAGCACATAAGAGAACCTGTACTGTAGCATCCTGCAACTCAGTGGTGTCTCAGATTTCTTGATCAAGGAGATTAGTGGGCCACAGAGTAAAGTGATCGACCATGTAGTGTGCCTACATAGAGTCACGTGGAGAGAAGATATTCTCTCAGGCTATTACAGAGAGCAAATTGGTCAAGCAATGGCCTTGATTCTTCCACGTGGCTGACACTGACTAAAGATCTACAAACTACTGTGCATTGTTTCATGGTAAATCCTAAGGGGATTTCACTGACTTTGGCAGATTACCAAAAAAGTTACATTTTTTGTCATATGTCTTGTTTTATCTTGGTCTTAACTATTCAGCAGAAATGTATAAACATGAGGTATAAAAAGTAAAGTTATATTAATATGCTGAGCTGTAAAAGGCTCAAGTCAACAACTTCTGACATTGCTGTTCTGTGGATAACCCACTTCTATTATGGACTACTGGACTATATTGGATTACTTTGCTGAATTCACACACCCATGATATTTGAACTGTAATGGAATACCCATCTGTGACAGAACTAAATAAAAAAAATGGGGATGTAAGTGAAGGACTATTTTGTAGTGAAAAAAAATATATACCTATATATACTAAATAGGTTTGATATAGAGCTACTTTCTCTTAATTCAATGAGATTTGTACTAATAGTGTTTAGACAGGATATCATGCCTGCATCTTGTACCATGAAAATCTGCTATGAAGACAACAATATGCAATGTATTATTTATTGTAGCTGTCCTAGTAAACTGTTTTTAAACTCTCTCATTGCTATTTCTTTCTCAATAAAATTAATAATGAAAAAGAAAAGATAAATGTTTAATGACTATGCCTAAAATGAATTGTAAGAGCACTATTTCATAGGAGTACTATTAAGAGTTATATAGTTAAAACCATTTTTTTATTTTTAATGAAGCTCAGTTACATCACAATAGCATATTGCTGCAAAAAGATCTTTGATGTATTAGATATACTTTTGTTTATATTCATATGAATTCAAGATTTAAATTAAGACTTTAAAAATGTAGCAAAGATTATTCTAACATTTTATCAAAGAAAGTATTTCTATTTGTTTTGCTCTGATTCTAGGCAATATGAAACTGTGGTACCACTTGAAGATTCTATTGTGACTGAGGTTACAGCAACACTACAAGAATGGGCCAGTCTATGGAAACAGCTATACGTTGTAAGTAGCCATATTTGTTTAGAATGTTGAAGTTTTGCTGTACAGAAATTTTTAAAATCACCTCACCTATACTAATTCTGTAGTTGGAAATTTCTGTAAATATTTTGTTTCCTAAATATTTGCTTCTAAAATTAACTGAAGCCCAAGTAGACTGAATTTTTCTAAAGTTATTTGTATGCCTTTGGTACTGGAATGTAAATTTCACAACTCCAAGGACCTTAACTATGTTTAGAATTAGTATATTCTTATATGTGATAATAAAGCAGGGATTTAGTAAATGAATTAGAAACTAAAAAAATTGTCTAATGTGTATTAAGATTCTGATGTTGGATAAAAGTCAAGACATTATAGTAACATTTTTCTCACAGCTATTAAGCCTAGCAAATATTGCCACTTTGCTAGGCTAGCAATTATTTGAAAATGTAATAGAAGCTCCATAAAGAAAAAAAATTCAATAAAATGGTGAGTTGGAGATGATAGTGTGTCTAAATGATTGCAATATTTACTCTAAAAATAAGTAACAAAATTAATGTTCTTGACAAGATAGACTAAATATATTCCATTTTAGTTTGGATACTAGAGCAGATGGAATAATACATTGCATTTTACTTCCGCTATTTGCAACAAAAAGTTCTGGACAAAACAATTCACCAATCAGAAAACTCCAAAAGTTAGGGGAAGTATAGTAGACTTATAAGAGTAGTTGTGGCAAACCTGTGGAATGCAAGTTATTGTGTTGTCTTTTGAGACAAAAGATTTACTGTATGAGTTATTTTTTAATGAACTAAAATTTAAGTATTTAGATTAAATTATAGCATTGGCACATTGCAATAAATAAGTATATTTGGGTTCCAATTTGTCATTTGATATCTAATTACCATCGCTGGCCTAGGACACTCAAAGCACAAAGTACAAGAAGAACTTGATAAATTAAATGTAGTAAAGCTGAAAGCATTTGTTGTGTGAAGGACTTTGTTAAGAATATGAAAAATATAAAGTATAGAGTACAAAAAATCTTTTCAAAGTACGTGCCTATTAAAAGACTTGTGGACTACACATAGAATTTATAAAAAACTCTCCAAACTGGCCACTATTAAAACAATTCAAGTAGAAAATGCCCAGAAGCAATGATCCTGAGAATCTCCATCAGGTTTTTGAAACTAGCAGTTAATTGTTAGGATTCCTACCCTGACTAATTATATATGCTGATACCTGTGAACTTAGCAACTGCACTAAGGATAGCTGTGTGTAATACGAGGGCCATGCTTGGAGTGCCTGTCATTTTGGTCTTATAAATGTGTATTGCTTCTAATGTCTTATCAATTACCGCTATACTCTGTCAAGTAAATGTTTGTTTAAGGGCCGGGGAGATAGCTCAGTGGAATAAGCGCTTCCCTGGCAAGCACAAGGGCCTGAGTTCGATCCCTGATTCCGCAAAAAA